AAAACCCTAATTATCAAATTGCAGGTTTCTTGAATTTCCCGAAAAATTGAAAAGCTGGTTAGTAAGTCGTCTATTTCAACTTACCTAAGGTCCAACTTATCATTTTGGAGTTAGATAAGTATAGTCCGCAGCGCAAAACGCCGCACACCCCCTCAATTTACACGCGGAACAACTTACTCGCAGCGGCCGCGGGAAGCAACTTCGACTATATTTTTTCACTTTAAACTTACTTTAAAAATTTCCTTCTCTGCCTATCCTATTTTTCCACTCCCCAAAACTCTATAATCACCGTCTTTGCAGGACAAAATGCTGGGACTAAGGGTCTATGAGTGGGCCTACATAAGATACGTTTGCCGGGCTTAATGCCAGGAGTTTTTTATTTTCAGATATATCCTATAGCATTAACCGTTAAATTAATGTTAGCTATAAAGCTAAGCCTTACCTTGAACTCAACCTATACCCCATATTTATTGTAGGGTCATAGTAAATAAAAGAAAATGCCTATTTCCGTGTCCTACGGTCCATAACATATTAATATACAGCCCAAAAAACTCTTTCAAGCTGAAGTTGCATAAATAATCAAATAGGGAGGAAGTAGATGTTCCGCAAAACCTACATTGTGGACAAACTTGAATTAGTAATGTGCATTAGTAATCTACATTCACGCATTTTGCGTAGATAATCCGCTCACACCGATATAAGCCGAGGTGACGGCTTAATGAGAAGTGGGGGCACACCTATGTATATCAGATATGTGGGTAGTTTTATATTAAAAATTATATCGTCAACTGACCTAGGTCCCAGTCGTGTCTGTTATTGCACTGGTGGTTTGATTACATCTACACCGGGGAAAAATTAATTTCTGCAAAAATTACCCTATTTAATTTAAAAAGTCAGCTTTGACAAATATGTTATCGGCCAATCTTCATCAGGCCATTAACTTTACAAAACAATTAAAAATTAAACGTGTAAAAAAATCAATAATTTTCTGGTGTCGGCGCCGACTGGCCACTGCGGAGTATGCCAGTCTGCGCCAGTA